TTCGCTATTCAGAAGATGCGGCATTATCTGGTCGGGCAGACCATTTATGTCATCTCTAAAGTTAATCCGGTCCGAGTATTCATGACTCAACCAGCTTCCATGAGCTGGCGATTAGCAAAATGGGCCTTACTCTTGTCCCAATACGACTTACATTTCAAACAACAGAAGTCAGTAAAAGGGCAGGCCATCTGTGATCTCCTGGCAGCTAATCCAACTACGGACACCGCCGAGATATATGACAACCTACCCGATGAAGTCCACGAAGTCAACGCAACTTCGCACCAACAAGTATGGCGTTTGTACTTTGACGGCGCTTCACGAGCAACCAATGTAGCAAGTGCTCCTGGAAGTTCTAAGATTTCTTCCGGAGTGGGAGTTGTCTTAGTTTCCCCAGGAAAGCATGTGATGCCTCGGGCCTACTCGTTAACCGAGCCATGCTCGAATAATGTAGCAGAGTATAACGCATTGATTATAGGACTCAACTTCGCTAAGGAGCTGGGGGTTGAGTATCTCGAGGCATTCGGCTATTCTCAACTAATAGTCAAGCAAGTCCAAGGAGAATATGAGGTTCGAAGCCAAGATCTAATACCATACCATAAGATGGCAGTGGAGATGGCGGAATCATTCGAAGGATTCTTTATCGAGCATATTCCACGGCTACAGAATACCTATGCAGACGCATTGGCAGCATTAGCCGTATCACTGGCACAGCCTCCCGAAACAGAGCAGTTTGTTACGATAAGAACTCACCAACTCCTAGTGCCGCTTTACAATGAAGAGGCCAAGGAAGAAGAGGTTCAAGAGGCGCACGCTACTCAAATCGAGTTCGAACCACGAGATTGGCGTTTCCCCATCATTGACTACGTCTTGCATGGAATCTTACCAGAAGATGTGAAGGAAAGAGAGTCGATCTGGCGAAGAGCACCAAGATTCTACTATAATACGGAGAATCGAACGCTATACCACAGGGGGTACGATGGGTTGCTATTGCGTTGCCTATCAACCAAAGAAGCTGAAGAGGTCCTTAGGGAGGTGCATGAAGGAGAATGTGGCGCACACCAACCTGGTCCCAAGCTTTACGATCGCATCAGAAGAATGGGGTATTTTTGGCCTTCCATGATGAGTGATGCAATTGTATATGCCCGAAAGTGTAATGCATGTCAAATACACGGGAATTATGTGCACCAACCTCCGGAGCATCTGCATCCTACGGTTACGTCATGGCCGTTCGAGACTTGGGGAATGGACATTGTTGGCCCTATAAACCCACCATCAGTCAAAGGCGACCGGTTCATCTTGGCGATTACCGATTACTTCTCCAAATGGGCTGAAGCAGTTCCACTCAGAGAAGTTAAAACGAGCAAAGTCATTGCATTCATCAAGCACCACATCATCTACAGGTATGGTGTTCCAAGACGAATCATACATGACAACGGTCCTCAGTTTGTCAGCAACGCCTTCATAAGGTTCTGCGAAAAATTCAAAATTCAGGACATCTCATCAACGGGTTTAAAATTCAGGATATCTCGTTGACGGCTTATAATCCTACAGCGAATGGATTAGCTGAAGCCTTCAACAAGACTATCATCAAACTCTTGTCAAAGATCGTGAAAACTAATAAACGAGACTGGGATGACAAGCTTGGCGCGGCTCTATGGGCCTATCGGACCACGGTGCGCACACCAACGGGAGCAACCCCGTATTCACTGGTGTACGGATGTGAAGCTGTTCTTCCATTGGAGATCCAAATACCATCTCTTCGGATCGCTCTTTCAACCCAGATGTCGACCGAAGAACAACATCAGAAACGCCTCGAAGAACTCGAGAGGCTCGATGAAGAGCGCCTGGAAGCTCAACAGCAAATTGAGTTTTACCAGGCTAGAATTTCTCGAGGCTTCGACAAAAAGGTTCGACAGAGAAGCTTCAAGGAAGGAGATCTGGTTCTAACTGTAAGACGGCCTATGATCCTTAACTCCAAGAAGAAGGATAAATTTGAACCCAAGTGGGAAGGACCATTCGTAGTGGAGACAGTCTACTCGAGTGGCGCCTATCGCCTCGTCACCAAAGACGGCGGCCGGCTCATGATGCCGATAAACGGCAAATTCCTAAAAAGAATCATTGTGGAATTGGTGAATAAGAAATTCACGTTCGAACTCTGAAGGTCAGAATGTCTCTTCTTATTCTCGACAAAATTTTCCAACTCTTATGAGTTACTTTTGTGAGATGAGATCTAATCCTCTGATAGGTTAATCTTTCCTCACCAAACCATCCGCTGATCAAATTAAACGACAGTGGATCCACCAACATTTCCATTTGCCCGTCATTGGCATTTCTCAGACTTAACGTGCTAGGTCCTAAACGCCTAGCATTAAAGTCTCCCTTTGAGTGATGATACGAGTTGGCACTTTCTTTGCTACCCGTATTCCACTTTCTTTGCTTTCTGGTCAAACCTATAATAGTTAGGACCAAAACCAAAATCCCCTCTCGATTCCTCCAATGAACGAGAGGTCCACTTTCAAATCGAGTGATCAAACCTTCCTACAGTTAGGGTCATCTCAAACTCCTGCTTGGTCAAACCTATAAAAGTTAGGGCCAAAGCCAAATTCCTCTCTCGATTCCTTCCATGAACGAGAGGTCCACTTGGAACAGTCAAACCTATAAAAGTTAGGATTGTTTCCAATCTCGCTTAGTCAAGCCTACAGATAGTCGAGACTAAGGTCGAGTCATTCAGCCTACAAATAGTTAAGACTAAGACCGAGTCATTCCTTTTCGATAAACGAAAATCCACCTTTGTCCCCTTTTCCACCAAACCTATAAAAGTTAGGGTTGAAATTGGGTTTTCTCCTCAATGAATGAGGGGTTCTTTGGGCTCAAATGACCAATCCTATAAAAGGTAGTGTCGTTCGAACCTTTCCGATTCTCGGAGTGGAGATCCCACTCTTAGTTTCATCCTTCCGGATTCTGGGGGTGGAGATCCCACCTCGAGTTTCCTTTCCAGCTGAAGATAGAATATAAAATTCTTCCTCTTCAGCACCGGGAGATTAGAATATAAAATTCTTCCTTTTTGGCACCAGGAGATAGAATATAAAATTCTTTCTCTCCTGTTTCCTTTCCAGTTGAAGATAGAATATAAAATTCTTCCTCTTCAGCACCGGGAGATAGAATATAAAATTCTTCCTCTCCCGTTTCTTAATTTGTCTTTGCTTTTAGAAAAGACACGATTCTCAACTTCTAATCCGGGCACTCGATACACGGGGAATTTTATCCCGAAGCCTAAGTAGGGATAAGTCAACGCCTAACACGCGTTGCCGGGTAGTCTATTCCCGTGATAAAGACGAAGCCTATGTATTCAAAATCATAGCACAAAGCCTCAGAGAGTTTACTCTCTTAGCACAACGTTACATGTGAGACGGGTTTAATAATTCACATGCTAGTCCGATTTCAAACGGTAATCGGTAAAGACATATCAAACCCGTTGAGGGCTGGGGGTTTGCCAAAAATCCCATAAATCTTTCATTCGGAAGAAATACAGAAAAGATCACGAGAAAGAAGCAAATGCGGAGTTTCTATTAATAGACCGAGTCAAAAGCATACAACAAGAAGCTCATTAGCCCGAAGGCAGCTAGCGGCTGAGAATATGAGATTTTAAGCTAAAAAGTCTATCTACATAACTCCGCTCAAGTCCCGCCTGCAGATCAGCTCGGGCAGATTCCTCAGAACTGCTTAAAATCTCCGCGGCTTCACTCTTCAGCTTCATCAGGAGGATCCTAGCTTCTCGAGTGCCTGTTCCCGAGAACGCTCTAGTCCAGCCAGGTCATCCGCAATAAGGGCAGCAGATTCCTCGGCGCGCTTCAAGGCCTCCTTCAACCTAGTCACCTCCTCGCGACTCGAGTCCAAGGAGTGGAGTAGCTCAGCTCTATCCGTGTCTTTCCTCGCTACGGTAGCCATCAGCTGCGCAACGGAACTCTCATGTGACTGAAGCTCGCATCCGATGGAAGATCTCAGCTCACGCCACTGTGCCATCCTATGCTCCAACTGAGAGGACACGAAAGAGGAAGCCCCGGTAACCTCCAACTCCTTCAACTCTCGTATCTCCGACTCCAGGGCGGCGAAATCAGCAGTGAAGGAATCGGCCAACTCCGGGTATCCTTCTTCCCTCATCATCATCATGTGGCGAGAAAAGGAACGCCTGAACTGATCGAAGCCGCATCCTCTATGAAGAAGTTTCTCGATCAGGCCGTTATAAAAGGCAGTGAAGAAGCCGAGGTCCATACGAAAAGCCTCTCTGTCAGGATCAGCATCAACCAAAAGGACGCGGACACACTCGTATAGGGAAGATCGAGATCCTACAAGCAACAACATAAAAGTTCAGCGGATTATCGAATACGATAAGGAAATTCAAAAGGCAAGTTCTGAGCATACCAACGCCAACGGACGTCCCCTCAGGCTGAGGTCCGACAGGCTCTGAGACAGCAGCAGAAGAGGGTATATCAACCCCTGCAGGCGGATTGCTTATATCACTCGGCAAGGACGGAGAGACGTCACTTCTATGCATATTTTCAGCCCCGGGAACTGTAGTAGTATCAGGCCAAACGGCCGGTCCTACAATTACACTCCTATATTAACCAAATGGAAATTTGGACAAATAAGGAGAATCGGGACAAGAAGATCGTATGCATACCTGCAATCCCACCGTCCTCAGATGCAGCGGGAATGCCAAGAGTCATAAGAGTATCAGCCCAAACGGCCGGTCCTATGACTGTACCTCTTTATTAGTCAAAATGAAAATTGAGACAAATAAGGAGGATTGGGATGATAGGGTCATCTACATACCTGTAGGTCCATCATCCGTAGGCATCTGAGAAATGCCACAGGAGTCATAAGAGAATCAGTCCCGGTGGCTGGTCCTATGATTGCACTCGTATGTTAGTCAACAGTCAGATGAACATAGAGAAGTACGATATCCCTAAATCGTATGCGTACCTGCGAGTCCGTCACTCCGACAGGAGTCATAAGAGAATCAGTCCCGGTGGCTGGTCCTATGATTGCACTCGTATGTTAGTCAACAGTCAGATGAACATAGAGAAGTACGATATCCCTAAATCGTATGCGTACCTGCGAGTCCGTCACTCCGAGGCAAGCTAGATATGCCAGGAATCGATATCGGGCTAATCCCAATGGTTGGCGCTGCAATATTAATCCTTCATTAGTCAGATAAAAGATCAGGCAAGATGAAGGGAACCAGATATATACCGGTGGATGAATCATTCCCAAAGAATGGTCTCTCGGTTCCTCTAGAGGTCTGCTCAGCCAGTATGTCAGCTAATAAGCCAGCATCGGGCTTCGAGAAGCTTGGCCTTTCCATCGCGACATCTGCAGGGTAACCTGAATGTTGAAAGATGAGGAAAGCTCAAAAAAAAATACTTGCAGCAAAAAACGGAAGATCTTCCTTCCCCATGCTTGAGGAAAGTAACATTGGATGTAGATATACCTGAATATGGCTGCTCAAGATCAATGTTCAGATCGATGCCCAGAGACCCGTCATGAAGGGCGTCGCACATTTGCTGCATAAAGCAATCCATGTTATCAACACCAGGAGATACCGAACCCGGTGGGAGTTCG